ATTCTTCCAAATGATTTAGCAATGGAGATGTGTTCCAGACACAAGATGATCACTGCTGCTGGTAATTCGGGAGCTATGTCACTCATGACACCAGGTGGTAGTTTCATAAGACCCACGTCTTGAAGACCGGATGGCACGGTTCCCAAGATTTTAATTGGACGATCACTGGAGCTCTTTCCTCTACAGATAGCCCAAGAGATACAGGTAAACACCACGATGATGACACCGTTTCTCAACGCTTGTAGATAGAAGAACACCTTTGACCATTTCTTGTATCTTTTTTCACCAAAGCTACAACCATATTTCCAGGCATATAGCAACACCAATGGGATAAGACCAAAGACGGCGTTCAAGTTTGTGTGGCGTAAGTTACGCAAACTGTTGATCACCACAAGGTAAGGAGAATCTCTGGTGTTCAATCTGGAATTGAATCCCATCAACGCTGGGATTTGACCAGTAATGATGTTGAATGCTGACCCAGTCATGAAACCTAGCACTGCAGGTAAAGAGATAAACTCCAAGATGAATCCCAATCTCAGGATACCCATACCGACGGTTATACAACCACAGATGAAGGCCAAGACTGTAGCAATGACGGGAGCACTCAAATCTGGGTTTCTATCTTGAACTCTTGTGATGATCTTCGACACTTCAAGAGACATCACAGCAACAGGGCCGATACTGACATCCTTGGAAGTTGCAAAGAAACAGTAGATAAAGACACCAACAAATGCAGAATACAAACCATACTGAGCAGGTAGTCCTGCCAACTTAGCATATGACATGGACTGTGGAACCATGACAACACCAACTGTAACACCAGCCACGATGTCTGCATAGGCCCATGTTAAGTTGTAATGTAGAATCCACTTAGCTATTGGGAATAGCGAAGTGGTATATTCAATAAACCTCTGTTTAGGATTTCTAACAACATTCTTAGACCAACCTACAACCGTTGGTAGTTCCTCTGAGTGTGAGTATAGCAGTGGGGATGATTCGTCTCTCAATTCGTACAGCTCATGAACGTTATCCTTGCTGGAAGAACCAGAATTCGTTCCGGACTCGAGATCAGTCATATCTTCAGAGTGGGTTATTTCTATAAGGTCTAGATGGATATCCAGTCGGTTGAATGAAAGGATTGAAGATCTATCAAACTTTTTATAATGTGAAACAGAAAGAGCAAAGACATCTCCCTAGCCACATTTCTGAAGCAAGAAATTTTCTCTTCTCCTTATGTACCTATTGAGCAAAGGTATCCACAGTTTTTGTGTGCCAGGGCGGGCATTCAATCACACAACAACCGCCACAGAGGCTGATGCATTATAACGCTTCCATCACCAAAACACGTCATGGCTAGCAGCGTGGCACGTGACTTGTCTCAACTGTGGCTTATGAGAAAATTTCTGTTTCATTTGGCGTTCTGTCATGTTGTATTGGAGTTGAGCCTTGAGCCACGGGAACAATAGGAACGGATCACCGATCAAAGATAAACGTATAATGCCCGATGTGGTTTCTGCTTTTTTGCTTATCTGTTTGTTCTTGAGCCACTGTCCCTTGATTTTGTATGATCGTTTGACTGTTAAAATTGTCTACTTTTTCTTGCAGGTGTCGTAAAAGTTTGGGCTGTGCCACAGAAGACAGTGAAAAAAAGAAAAGATCTTTAGCCACAGTGGTTTTATAAAAAGTGGCTAATGAGACCCGATTCGGGCTCATCTTGCTAATCTTTTGGTACTTTTACCCAACTATCGCAGACATCTCCAAACTCTCACAAGCCACAAAAGACCCTTAGAGGCACCACAGACGTGACGACAATCGGATGTTATATGTCCTGTAGCATTTGATTTGTGAATCCTTGGTTCTATCGTAAGAAGGGTGGCTAAGTAGTGGCTTGACCTCACTTCTCTTCTTTGACAGCTTTTTGACCCCCTGTCCA